ACACACAACCCTATTCAGATCACAAGAACACATGTCCAGACACAAGGACACATCTGACCCATGCTCTGCCTGGCCTGCACAATGCCCTTCATGGTCTCTGGAGAGAGCTGCCTGACAACAACACAGTAAGCAAGCCAACGGAACAAAGAAGCCAAAACAAGCAACGTAAAGAAAAAAGAAAATGAACAAACAAAAGTGTTGACAGCCCGTGTGTTGCTACTGACGTAGAGGAGGCTGAATGGAGGACTGTTTTTATTGTGATGAGCTCATCACCTGCTGAAGTTGGGCGCGTGTGATGCGTATGACAGAGGGAAACTTGGCGTTGGCAGCACCCGCTGGGATGGCGGGCAGTTTCCTACGACTGGGCGAGCGGGTGCCAGGGGCGGGATGTGGTGGTAGCGGAAGGGAGGCATGGCAGGAGGATGAAGAGGAGGCGCGCTCCTGCTGCTGGTCGGCAGACTGGCTGCGCCTTATCCCTGGCGGATGGCGCTGGTGCAGCGGGTCCGACAGGGTGGTCAGGAGAGTGTGAGGGCTGGGAGAGCGCAGAGGGATGGGGCTGTACGTCCGCACCGCGACTTCCTCAGGCAGGGACGGAGGAGAGGTGGGGAGCTAAGAGAGGAGGGGGAGAGAAGTGGGAGGTGGAGAGAGGAGGGGGGTGTGAGATCGGTGAGGGAGTGAGAAGATGGAGGAGGTATGGTGGGAGTTCTGTGAGGCAGGATGAGAAGGCGGACTGGTAGCGAGAACGACGCTTTTTTTCACAGATTAAGCGATGGTGGGATTATAAAGGTAAAGATGGAGACGAGGAAGGTGGTTCCTGAAAAAGATGGTTTAACTGTTCAACTTGGAGGTACAAGTTCTGGTTGTGTGAGAGTTAGGGGACAGTTATTCCTCTTGTAGTGAAAAAATAAACTCTGCAATTTGAGTAAAAGCGGTTTGTGTTGAAGCAGAGTGATCAGGAGTTCGGACAAAATGGGCTGGTGGAAGGTTATGAACAGCAAAGGAGCAAAAAAAACTAAGCAAATCAAAGTATATTCTGGAAAGAAATCATTTGCTTTGCAAAATAAATAAGAACAACTCAACACATTGCAAATGTCTGCAAATAAGATCAGATCTATGAATGATATCTAAAGCAAATCAAAGTGCTTTTCAAAACCAGAAGCTCTCCCCTTCCCCCATGCTGTGATGTGATCAAAGCTCTGCAGTTGTGTCACAAATATCTTCTAGTAACAGATACACAAGTGAAAAGCGGGCAAACATGAAGCAGTAACATTTAGCTTCAAACTACAGCAAGATGCAGCTGGTGGAGCTGATATGATTTTAGCATTACAGTTCTAGAGCTAGAACTCTGACTCTGTGCAGCTTTTTAACTTTGTAAAATGCTGAGTACAGTCAGTCTCATGTATGCCATGTTGTGAGGTGGCCTTCAAATGTAAGCGCTTACCTGCGTGAGAACTCCCTCAGCCAGAGCTTCAGCTGGGCTGGTTGGAGTGATGGGAGGCAGAGCCCCGGCAGGGCCCACGCTAAGCTCCAACTTGTCCACTTTTGTACTTCCTTTGGAGGAAGCCGTGCTCTCCTGTTTAGCTTTTCCAGAGCTAGGGCTTGGGCTACCCTTACCCCACCCAGGAGACCGTTGCCCTGGCTGGAACACCTCTGGCGCCTCATCCTCCTCTGAAGGGCTGGTAACCTTGGCTCCTGGGGAGCCACTGGGTCGCTCCACCATTACCCACTCCCTTGAGTCAATGTCCTGCCTCCCAGAGCTCAAATTGAGGGCCACAAAGCCCCCGCTGCTGGCCGCCCCCTCTCCCTGCTCCAGAGATCCAGGGGATGCAGGTTTGGGAGAACCGTTGCCAGACAGGAACTCCTCATCATAGTGCCAGATCCTATCGGGACGCTCCCCGGCAGGTACGGTTTGACCCTGAGTTACTGGGATGATTGCAGCTGCATTTGCCTCCTTCTCCTGGTGTGGGGCGCCGGTCTGCTGCTGAGCCGAGCTGAACCGACACAAGACAGATGCAAACAATCAAGCCTCTACTAAGGAAAAAAAGACTTATCAAAGATTTAGCGGTTCCTCGATGAACCTACCAGGCCTCGAGGAAGCGCTCTGGACTGGGCTTGGACTCTAAGCCGAGCCTCCTCTCCAGCTCAAAGCTGTGGATGTTGCGGAGCTTCCTCAGCAGAGGGCCCTCTCGGTCTGAAGCCATCACCTCAGAGTGTTTGACTGGAGAACCCAGACTTGGCCCGGCGTAGGGGCTCTGGTGTCCTTGGTTGCCCTGGTTGCCCTGGTTGCCCTGGTTGTTGCTGTGTTCCTCCTCCGTCGCTGCCTGTGGGAACCAGTCAGTTTTAATGTATTTACCAAAGAAACAAGTGATCTTCACCAGCGGCACTGAACTCCAATATTACATGTACTATAAAGCCCAAGTTTGTGTGTTGACATGGGATCTACCTTCCAGACTGCTGTCCTGATGCGGTTACGGTTGCGATCCAGCTCCTCCCACACATCAGCCTCCTGGTTGCGGTGCGGGTGAAGGGGCGAGCCAGGCAGGCGATCAGGGGCGGGGTTGTTCTCCACGTCACTGAGCTGCTCATCCTGCAAAACCTCATCTGTGTTTTCCCTCAGCAGGTCGCCAGGTATCAGGGAGGCATTCGCCATGCTGGGACAACATCAAGTACACACATTATTTCATATATGAGGCTGGAAAAATTCTAAATCTATCTGAGTCAACTTGATTATTTCAAGCAAACACACCCCATATGTGCCGGAGTGAGCCGGGTGTGATGTTGTGGTGTTGTGGCACAAGCACTGATTGTCAAGGTGCCATCGGTGCCGGTCCGCTCCCAGTCATAGGGGTCGTTCTCCACCACGTTGTAGGTTTTCATGCTGTTGTCAAACACTGACATCAGCAGCTGTAACAAAACAAATACACAGTTACTCCGGAGAATTTCACAGAACATGCACATTTTGGGTGTAAATCAACTATAACAGATCTTTCTTGGTCTTGTACTGCAAACATTTTTTTATCAGAAAGAATATGGCACTATGTTATCACTTGCTAAAACCAGCAATAAATCCTTTGTGTACCTGGTAGTCAGGCTTGGTGAAGTAGTCCAGGCTGGAGATGTGTTCCAAAAACACACCAAACTCTGCGGGCAGATGTTTGAGCATCAGACGATGATCATAGGTCTCCTTCAGCTTCCCCACATGTTCCTAGGAATGAACAAACAGACACACACGCACTTGTCACATCTCATCACTCACAGCGACCTGGACACGGCTGTTCACTTCCAAGGAAGGACAACAATTATCGCTTGTCCTTACTTTGTCCTTGATCTTCCTCCACGGCAACTGACCGACCAGAAACTCCACCAGCATGTAGAAGAGGGACCAAAGGTCGTCATGACGACCCATCTCCTGCAGAATTACGTCACGTTTGAGTTGACATTTATTTCAACAACATTGGGTCATTGGTCAGGGTTTAGCTAATAAACTATAACACTTGTGGGACAGCATCACAGCTTACACAAGAGCTGCAGCACAGGTTGGACAGATACTGACCTTATTCTTGTGAGCGTTGACAGATGCATAACGTACTGTTCCCCTGAATCCTGCCACAGGACGAGGCTGAGGGATAAAGACAGATACAGCCATCAAATGCTAACATAGACATGATCTAACAAGTTTTCTGAAATCCAAACCAGATCTGCAGAATTTCAGCAGGATTTTAGTCATAAATAAACTCAAAGTGCTCGTGTTTGTAGATTTCTTCAGTCTGACTCTTAAACCCAACCCACGATCAACATTTTAAACGGTGTTAGATTACGATAAAAACATGTATTAAGAGATTTTTTAGGCTACTTAACAATTATTTATTTCAGCTAACAGTTCATTTGGAGATAATTCTCTAAAAGTGGTGTCTTTCATGTTACACAATGATTTGATCAATTGTTTAAGTGAATAATATTGATATGAGCAAACTCAGTGTGTACTCATTAACTGAAGAGGGCACTTACAGGTCGGACCTCCTGGCATGAGTTGGTGAACTGTCGAGCCAAACCAAAGTCCAGCATGTAGCAGGTACGACAGGTGCTGGGGAAGCGACCCATGGCAAAATTGGACTAAGGCAGCAATGAGGGATAAGGAGGCAAAGGCAAAAAGAAAATTGGTTAGGCGTGATATGTAATAAAATGTACATAAAAAATAATATTTACATAAATACAATAAATGTGTTCCTATGATGGAATATAATTTAATGCAGCAGCTCAGAAGACATTTCTGGGCATTTGGCCAAAACTCATACTGAGCCAACTTACTGTAAGTGCAACGGTCAAAAAAGAAAAATACTAAATCAGCAAGAATACTAGGAATAGAACTATAAATATAAATATTTCCCTGTGCCTGGAATATATAGGAGGAGCAAGATGATGAAATTAAAACCAAGCAGAGAGAATCCTCTGCTGCAGCCTCCGTCCTGAGACCCACCGGTTTGATGTCACGATGCAGGAAGCCAACCGAGTGGATGCTCTCTATGGATTCCAGGATCTGGCGACCCAGACGCAGGGTGGTGCTGATGCTAAACGTGCCCCGGGTCATACTTCTCCTCAGGTCGGCCAGATTACGACCCTGAGGGACCAAGAACAAAATCTGTTAAAACTAGGCGAAAATCACAAATGAATCTATTTCAACACAGAAAATGTATCGAAAACGTTTGTGCAACGTCATTCAAACTGTTTTGTGCTCATTATTTCAGCGCTAGTTTGATGTGTCACGTTGTGCGAATGCTCATGAGCCGTCACGTCTCCTGCATTCAGACCAACCTGAAGCTCCATCACCACGTAGTTAAAGCGGTCATTGCGGCCACATCCCACGAAGCGACACACATGATCTTTACCTGGGAAATAAAAGAGGAAAAGAGCATTTCAAAAAAAAATTTTCATGAGGGGATTAGAGGTCACTTCTGAGCCACTAGACGTCAGCAGCAGCATTTGAGCGTAAGATGCCGACGACTGCGTGAATCATGATGATGTGTTTCATATTTCCCTGCCCTTCCCTCTCCAAGCACTAAAACTCTGCAGTCCCTGTATAACAACCCTGATGATTTACATGCAATGGCGCACAACACAGTGTCTACACATATGTGCATCAATGTGTGTGTGTGTGTGTGTGTGTGTGTGTGTGTGTGTGTGTGTGTGTGTGTGTGTGTGTGTGTGTGTGTGTGTGTGTGTGTGTGTGTGTGAGCGAGAGCTGAGTGTGTGTATTCTCTGGTCT